AAAATAAGACCATTGGCATACGGCGAGTTACGCATGATTAATAATAAAATTACGTAGGCGCAGAGCTAGGCAGTATTCGATTTTGTAAATACTTTTTAGTATTCAAATACTTTTATGGAAGCAGTATTTGTATTTGTAACTCAAATACTTTCGCAAATATTTAGTAGTCGAATACTTCGTAAAGTATTCGAATACTTCGCACCTTTAAGTTATTCAAATATTTGAGAACTATTTAGAAATGCTTAGGGGAAGTTTCCATTATCACAAAATCAAATATAAAAATCCGATACAACTGAATACCGAACGACCCTGGAGTGAAACTTTTTGACCCGATAGTCTACGTAACTTAAAAACAATAGGGACCTTTCTTATATCCATGTGTACCAATTTTCAAAGCGATCGCACGTTTCTAAAGAAGTTATCGTGCACACGAACAGACGGACGGACAGAAAAGGATCTATTTCAAAATCGCTAGGATTAATTTCAGAAATGTGTACGACGTACGATCGCTTTGAAAACTGGGTATAGCTGATATAAGAAAGGTCCGGAGGGCCTGGTACCTGACATATCTAGCACTTACTATTTTAGATTTTTAAAGTCTTTGAGTGACAAGTATTTGAATACTTTTTACCTCGCTTTTTACTGTATTCGGATACTTTTGAAAGTATTCGAATACATTCTAAAGTATTTGAATACTTATTTTTGAAAGTATTTGAATATTTTTCAAAGTATTTGTATTTAGTACTTGCTTGTGCTGGACATAAAAGTATTTAGTATTCAAATACTTTTTGAAAGTATACTGCCCAGCTCTGCGTAGGCGCAATAACAAAAAACAACATAATATGTGCACTAAGCTGCCAACTTTTAATGTTTAACTTTTCTATTTTAATACGTTAACAATTTAAACATTTCCTCGTGCCATTGACTAATAGTCAAGGCTCGTACTTCCTTCAATATTTGTTAACTACATTAACTTCACTGAAAGTAACTAATAAAATAGCAAGTAGGGAGAATGTTTGGCGTTATTAATTCTTGTACAACTATTTACAAGAGTAAAACACCGTAAATAAGTTTATTGTTTCTATGGTTTTAATGCTAAACCACCCTGTATATTAATTACTTAGTAAATTGCGACTTTATTACGCCATTTATAACTTGTTAATTAATTGAAAACTTGTAATTTACTAAGCAATTATTAGAATATAGAAAGTGGTTTAGCATTAAAACAATAGCGGCAGTATTTAAAGCGCTTTACCCTTGTAAATAGATTGCACCGCAATACGTAAATAGACAATTTATTGCGGCAACTAATTCCGAGACTAATTCGTTGAAACTTATTAAGTAAATAATTAACAAAAGTTTCAAAAAAGTGGTTCAAAAAATATGAATAAGAAAATCCATTTTTAACACGGCCTTTCAATTTGCTTTTAGCATATTCCGCTGAAATTTCAGAATTGGGTCACAAATAAGAAATGTGTCTTTTAGTCTCCAGGTGCACAGTCCATTTTTTGTGTGTTCAATTTATTTTTTAGGAAGCACTTTCCCTTAAAATTAAAAGTCCGTCCATACATAAGAAAATTGGTTCTGGGCATGCGCAATTCACGTTTTTGCACGTTTACATAACAAATAATGACCCGAGTAATAACCCTAAGTATTGACTATGAAGCCAGCAGAGCCAATTTTTGTTTTCTTTGTGATAGTATTTAGCGTTTCCTCAATTAAATTGGGGTTTGGGTCAAGATTGGGTCAAACTTGATGTTTTAGGTATGGCCTCGGGTATGGCTAATCAACGATCAAAATGGCATCAAGCGTATAGAATTTAGGTATCGAGGGATTTATAGACACAGCATATGGCAAAAGTTGAAAAACCAGGAAAAAGGTTTTATCCTCAGGCTAGTAACCTTAGCCCATGTTCCATGCATTGAACCTCGCATTGAACAGGCCATACCTATGTGCGCTATGTTTTTCTGTAATGGAAGAATCTTTGGTTAAAATTCTCGATTCTCTATAAATAAGAAAGTTAGCAGTGCGCAATCTGTTCATGTGCACATCTGATTTTTTACAATATGCGATATGTTTGTCTTTACCTCGGTCTTTACTAGAAGTAATTAAATTAAAATTATCTCTTTAAATAAGAAAGTTAGCATTACGCAGTCTGCGCATGCGCACAATAATCGTCAAGATTTTTCTTGGTTCAGGTGCCAGACCTATAAAGTATAAGCTACCGAATTCGAAAAGAACGAACTATAAATGTACTGAAAACTGTAGGAGTAGTTTTCAGGCCTCGGCCGGACATATTGTAGACATATTTGTAGACGACGATACTTGTACATATGAACCTCTACTAAATAGTGGTTTTTGGTCGGTTACCTGTTTACGTGACTTTACACATACAAACTCCTTTATTTGTAACAGGATTACCCTAAATGGGTGGTGAGGTATGAGAATCCAGAATTGACCGTTATGGTATCAAATCTAACCCCACCCTGACGAAAGCGTACCATAATTATATAGGTACCTATCGTAGTTTGTAATGGTTTCAAGCAAAGAGAGGCTACCGACGAAGCCGCTGCTGCGAAGGGTATATTTAAAAAAGGTTCTAAAGTAGGTCTAGGTATACAGAACTAGGATAGCACGAGGGATAGCACTTATTGTGATTGTGAAGTCTATTATTTCATTCGCTTACAAAAAAAACGGGGGGCGTTTACTTTATTACACCTCGATAATAAATTAATTGGTCTTCGATCTTCCATCATATAGTTGCCCATACGAAATTACAATAATCATAGCAAAAGTTTGTACAGAATTCAATTTGAATACAATAAATCCTGGACGTCAGTACCAATGGGTCAGGTAAATTGTACGGTATTTCATTTTGAATAGATGTCCTTTTATCCTTTAATTGCACGTTAGGAAGGAATCTATACCTACATGTTATAATGGTTTCTAATATTTTTTGCCCCGATTTGTCAGTATCTTTCCAAAAGTTTAAGAGTAGCAGGAACCTACAACGCGACAGGTAAATAACAATTTGTTTGTAATCATTTAATGGAGATAAAATTAATAATAAAAGTGGGCGTACGCCGCCGATGCAATAACCGCGCGATTATGTTACGATGGAATGAAAGACGCCAACGGTGACTATAATTGGTTGGGGGTGTACCAAGTACCAACTCCCTGTATAAACACTAATAAAACGATATTCCGTGCATAAATGCCAGAAATACGGTTATAATAAACTAGTTTTGCATTTATAAACATTTCTCAATGTCGGCATTTCTAAAAGGGAAAATATGAAACCCTTTGGCAGGTAAGTCCGTTCTTGCTTTCGAAAAGGATATATTTGAAATAAAACTTACCTGTGTGTGTTCTTAAGTGGGCTTTCAAGTGGGAACTTTTTCCATATACTTTATGACATCCATCATACAAACATTTATGAGTTTTTCGTAACTGTGTCGAGAGTTTGTTAGCCGATTGAGCTCTGGGAAGAGCCGGTTTGCGCGCGAATGGTACAGTGGAATCTAAATTTTTCGGGATACCACTTACAACTTTACAAACTTTAGAATTCCGAGATTTCCCATTGGAATTGTTTATGTAACTGCTGTAGCCTTCATCCTGTTCGTCTTCATCTATAGTAAGGTTTCCTTCCGTATCTGATGGAACTTCCGGTACCGGCTCTTGTTTAATGCGGGTGAGATCTGTAAGAATACGGGCAACCATATACGAAGATGACTCGGTAGAATTTGTGGTGACGGGTTCTTCTTTTACAAAAGAATGTGGAACAACGGGAACCGGCTCGACAATTACGGCAGGGCCGACATTGTTTCCTGATAAAAGAGATGTGATATCGTGTGATACTGGTCTATTGGAGAGATCCAGGGGGCGATTAATATGATCTTTACTGTGTGACATTTCCAATAAACATTGGGCCGCGAAATTTATTTCATCCATGATTTACGCACAAAAATCACGACACGAATGTGTACCACTTTGTTTTTACACAATATCGAGCTGGTATTTAAAACGCAATCTAATTTAATCTTAGCGGGAGGCGTAACGAGTCGTAAATTTTAATAAGATAAGGCGTAAATAAACATCACTAAACGACAAATTCAGACTGCAGCTGTAGTCGCGTTAGGAAGATCTCCCACTCGGTTCTGTTCACTCCCCCTTCGCATATGCGCTAACGTTATAATCCTGTCTAGGTAGAAAAGGGAATGAAATTTGCGATACCTAAAAATACCGTCTCCTTGCTTCCCTTTTAGATTTAGCTTTTTTATGTGGCTCTCACAGCCGTCATCATATGCCGGTCGCTATACCGGATGCACCTATTTCATATTTGTCAAATCAACTTCCACAATAATTACTTTATCAGCATCTTATTACTTTAGTAAGTACTAGGTTTTAACTATTGGTACAGAGGCGATGATGTTCAACTAAAGCTTTATTGAAGCAAGCAGTGAAAAGGTAGATCGACCAATTTCATCTACCCTTTCCATTTAATTGATTTTTGGGTTTTTACTTTTTAATAAAACCCTTACTTATAAATAGTCTGTTGACCGAAATATGGAACATCGATATTGACTATTAACGCGTTGAAATAGAATACTCATAATTTTTTAGTCGGCACACAATTTAGCAGAATAAGAAGTTAGATTTCTGGTGCGATAATTACCCAAATTAATCAGAAAAATAGTTTCTGTCTAAAGCCGGTATTTTTTTCTAGGTTCACAAGATAACTCATTTGCAGTCAATTTTAAGGGGTACGATACAATACAATAGATTTTTCGAGTTACCACGCTGGAAAATGGCAAATTCCTTTTTTAGTCCTTTTAAATGGTAAACATATGTAGGTCTATTTTGATGATTTTTACCATTAACTGCAATTAACAAAATCTAGGTCTCAAAAAATTTCTTTGGCCCAAGTAATCGCCGGCTACCGACGAGATTCGCCGAGGTACGAAGTTCCACGCAGATCGGGCTGCCACCCTTGAAAATGTCCAACCCTTTTGCATGGTCGACATGGGTGAAATGCGATCATTTTTACTTACCCTTAGCAATTAAAGTAAATTCTAGATCTTGATGTCTGAACGTCACGGTTCAGAATGGTTCACTGTTCTTTCAACTCTCTTATTTGATTGGTGCAGATTATACAAGCAAAGTTGGCACCAAACAAACGTAGTGCTCTTGCTGTTATCCAGTAACATTTCTCGGCAATTTTGCTAAAGGTAGACATGAATATTCTTGTTTGAAACACATTTTACCAGCATTACTTTTACAGGTACATCTAAAGAATAATCGAAGATTCAGTCCAGAGCGAAGAATAGTATCTTATTCAGGTACTCGGTTTACACTTTTAGACCCCATTTTGTTGGCATACAAGATTAAAAATTAATTTATATTTTATATTATATTAATTAATACCGAAATCCGTGGTTTATATTTTTCCTTCGCCCGAAGAATTAGTTCCGAATTGCAACTTTGACAAATGTTCACGACTAAAAAATTGTTGTTGCCAGGCAGCTGGATTAACATGACACATAATTACATATTCTTTCCTTTTAGTTTTACTTATCTGATTTTGTTATGTTATATACTGATAATTTGGACCACCCTGTATAATACATGATTGATGATGATTGATGATATTGTAAATTCTATTCCACAATGACAACACATACAAACTCATATTTTGAGTCAATAAAGAACATTTGTAGATATGCGAATATAATTTTATAGTTGATCACCTTGTATAAAAACATTTTTGGGCTTGATAACTACTAAATATGTACGTCTCAGAAAACATAATGCCACAACACTAACTCGTGGACCTCTCAAAAACTCAGAATGTTACCTAGCGTATGGACTAAACGCCAACTCGAGCAAATAGTTCAGGCAAATTGGATTTTTTGCAACAGAAAATTATTAATGGAGCTTTACCAATTGTATATGATATAATCTTATATGTAAGTACAACGAAGTGCGTCTGAAAAATGATTAAATACATTATATAGTAAGTGTAATAATGTATTTTAGACTGGTTCACTTTTCGAAGATTCTCTGTCCTAGGGGCATTTCAGACAACATTTGGCCAAATAGGCTTTTTTTACTAATTAGTACCTGCTGAACACGAATATCGATGTTGGCACCTCGAAATCTGAACCGGAAGTCCAGAATTCAAGATGGCGGCCAATTTCCGAACATGTTTATCTTTTCACTCATGCGACTGATTTTTTCGATCTAAAAACGGATTATAATGTTATTCCTGACGGAGGTACGGCATGATAATAATCGTGACCAAATGTTTAAAGAATGATTTCATAGTTTTTCTAACCTGAAAGTGCGTAAAAGTGGAAACCTTTTTTTCATAGTACTATGGCTACTGTTTAAATTTCTTCACATCGTGTAAGTATTAAATTATTTCTGTTTTGGCAGGCATTTTAGTTACTGTGCGTCGTGTGATTGCTGGAGGGCGGAGGCGAGGTACTTCACGATAATAATAGTTAACTATTGTTTTAACAATAATGGAATAGGAGGATGCAGGATGCGTATAAAATCATAGATTTAAGTATATTTAAATCTGTGGTAAAATTAAGAATTACGAAATTCCCAGTTCCCCTTGCTAAAAGGAGGACTTGCAAAACGATTGTTTCCAGTAATCCTGACACATATAAGTATTCCCGACATGCGTTTATATTGCATAATTCTCCTTATAAAGTTTTGATAACTACAATCTTTCGTTGTTGTGGGGGATGGACACGAGGCAAAGTGGGCTAGGAACCAAACTGGACAAAATAGGTGTAAATATGAAAGGAGCTCACAATCGTAGGCAAATGCGGCTGCAAGTCAACTTGTGAGACCATGAGGTGCTCATGCTTACGAAACAGCCTTCCCTGCACCCTGCAGAGTTCTAACTGCCTAGAACACTGCAAAAATCGCAGCCGAGTATATGTACGTACATGCTTATTATAAACATGACTGTCCGCGTTTTATTTTTAATGATTTTAACTAAATATTTTTTATAGCTCGACTGCAACAGGAGATCTGAGCGATGATGAGGCATTTCCCTTTGATGACTGATGACTTTTTACTTGTGAATACTTTTCAATAACCAACAATTTTTAGTTAAAAACAGGATTCAATGAATAAGTTTCAGTTTTGCACTTAGTTATAACCTCAATCGGTTTATTCAAAATATATAAAAATTCATAATAAAAGGCCTTTAATGGGTCTTTTGGTAATCTTCACCCAAAAGAATCTCAGAAACGCCACCTCAACTACGAAAATCGGTCAAAACCTTTGAATCTTGTCGGACGTTAAAGATATCATATACAATTGGCCTATATATGATAAATGAAATATGCTTCCCACACAGAAATTAGCTTTGGATATTATTTTTGTCATATTCACCGTCGGAAACCTCGTAAACGTCACCCCAAACGTAAAAATCGCTCTAAAATCATATATTTCCTGAAATTTTAAAAATTGGCGCCATTTTCAATCCTAAGGGACGGAACTTCCGGCTCTGCGACTCAAATCACTCCAATAGGTCTAGGGAACATGTGTTCCAAGTGGCACAATTTTAATACGAAATGCCGAATAATACCAATATTTATCACGAGCCGCTCCCACTATAGGTAGTACAAATCAATTGAGCTTTACGATATTTTTACAAAGTTTTGACGAGCAATTCTATTTACAACGACAAAGGACGATATCTAGAGCAGCCTTCGGAATTAATCTAACGTTGGGAGAATGGGAATGTAGCTATTTTCAATTCAGGATAGATAAGGTAGTCTGAGCGACATTTCATAGTTTATAAGATAAAAAAAGTACATCTTGAGATTTACTCCTGATATGCCATAATGATGGAAATGGATGAAATACTAGAGAAGATTAGATGGAATCGCAAGAGAATGGAGTTCAGAATTGTTAGATCTAAAGCTTCGCAGCTCCTGAAACCTCGAAGTGATGAAGAAGCAACAGGAATGCATCTGTATCTGTAGCGTTTTTCTAGTATCCGCTTCCTTGATGTGAAAAGCTTCTAAGGAGGAAATCTGTGTCGTCTGACGGTTACAGAAAACTTTTCTTTCATCATTGAAGCCTCTCGCAATCACCAGTACGCCGTCAAATGAGGCCTCTTCAAGGTGATGCGACAAGATTTCTTTTATTTTCCTCTAATAAAAGGAAATTCTTCCATATGAGGTCGTGGACCATCGCGGATATCTTTCGCACGACGCACAGGAACCAAAATTCTTGCCAAAACAGAAATAATTTAATAATTACACGATGTGAAGAAATTTAAACAGTAGCCGTACCTACTATGAAAAAAAGGAATCCACTTTTACGCACTTTGACGTTAAGCCTAATTTACATTTGGCAAGTTTACTGGCGGAAAGTACTGTCGGTCAGTAAACTTGTCACGTGTAAATGCGCGGAAAGTGCCAGTTAAATAGAAATAGGGTAGCAAGTTTACTATGAAATCATTGTTTAAACATTTGTTCACTATTATTATCGTGCCATACCTCCGTCAGGAATAACATTATAATCCGTTTTTAGATCGAAAAAATCGGTCGCATGAGTGAAAATATCAACATTTTCGGAAATTGGCCGCCATCTTGAATTCTGGACTTCCTATTCAGATTTCGAGGTGCCAACATCGATATTCGTGTTCAGCAGGTCCAAATTAGTAAAAAACGCCTATTTGACCAAATGTTGTCTGAAATGCCCCTAGAACCTGTTAAAACGCTGTTTTTTATAAAAGTGAACCAGTCTATTTAATCAAATTACAGACGCACTTCGTTGTACTTGTTATAACCCTGGTTATAACAATTAACAAATGTAAAAATATCCATCTTCTCATCCCAATTTTATTATATGACGGTAATTATAAATCAGTTGAAATTTACATTATACAATTAGAAATATTTTAGCTACGCCTGATGATGGCCATTTAGGCCGAAATCGATCGCGCATAACAGAAAAATAAATTTCATTGAATATCATCCAACCTACTGGTTCTTTTATCCTATATTTTATTATATTTTCGAAATCTACATGAAAATCTACGTGTCTGATACCACATTTCCCTATACCCAGCATCAAAGTTTTTCAAGTCATTCAAGATTTTTCAAAATTTT